CTTGAGCACGGGTATGGCTGCCTCGCCGTCGTCGGCGAGCCGGCGGTCTCCCCCGCCTGACGCGCGGCGCCCCGGCACGAGCGCGCGGGACGGGCCTGCCCATTTTGGGCCGCCCCGCGCGCGCGAGCCGCGGCCGCGCTCGGAGACAGCTCGCTAGCGCGCGAGCGGGAGAATGCCTACTTCATTCCTCTGTGGAGCAAGCTCCTCTGCTCCGCAACTTCGCTGCCCCCCTCCCTCCTCTCCCAATCTAAGGCTGATGGGCGCTGCCTCGCCGTCGTCGGCGAGCAGGCGGTCTCCCCCGCCTGACGCGAGGCGCCCCGGCACGAGCGCGCGGGACGGGCCTGCCCATTTTGGGCCGCCCCGCGCGCGCGAGCCGCGGCCGCGCTCGGAGACAGCTCGCTAGCGCGCGAGCGGGAGAATCCTCCTCCTTCTCCTCCTCCTCCTCCTCCTCCTCCTCCCTTTCCCTCCTCCTCCTCCTCCTCCTCCTCCTTCTCCTCCTCCTCCTCCTCCTCCTCGTCCTCCTCCCCCTGAATGGGGTCGGAGTGGAGTGGAGACCCATGCCAAGGAACACCCTTCTTGCCTCCAGGGTGCCCTGGGTTTCTTGGGCTTCAGTGGTTCTGCTGTGGAGAGCGTGACGCTCCCACGCCAGAAATCGATGGACGTCCTGGGGTCTCAGGGTTGGGTTTCGTGTGGAAGGTTTCTTGTGGTCGGGTTCCTACTTCATGTCCCTCTGCGTCCCACCGTGCTGTGTTCTCAAGACTGGTTCGTGTCCCTCCAGAGGTGGCGGGGCGAGGAGCGGCGCGCGGGCGCAGGTTTGTGACCCCGAGCGGCTCGGCGAGCTCGCCTCGCGGCTCGCGCGCCACGTGGTGGGCGCCCAGCCGCGCTTCCTGAGCGTGGCGGGCATTCCCGCGGAGACCGCGCAGAAGGATCCCAGCTGGCGAGGTTCGAAGCTCGAGGTTTTCGAACGTGTTCGTTGTTTCGGGGCGATTTTCCAAGGCCTCGGGATGCTCTCCAGCAGCTGCGATTCGCCGAGAGCGTCCCTGGGATGCGCAGATCGTCCCGAACGGCCGCTGGAGGCTCGAGTCATGAGCCGAAAGCCTGGGCACGTTAGTGAGGAGAAAGGCTCCGGCGGGCAACGCAGCGACCCCGAAAATCGCCCATTCATCGCCGATACTTCGTGGCCCGATGGCCCACCCCGCCCAGGATTGTGCGGATCTGATGTCGGGGGCCTATCGCTGGTCTACGGCAGGTTCGTGTCGTGTCGACCGGCGGCGACCCCAGCGCGGGCGCTCAAGGTTGAACGCCGCTAGTGGCCCAGAATCGCCAATATGGAAGGATTTGGCGATCGAGAAGCCGCCGATGGTTCAAGGTGGAACGATCGACGCGGGGTCATGAACCAACGCCCAGGTTGACACAACACGAGCCTTCCGTACAGGCATTTTATGGTTACAGGAGGATTATCCAAAAATAATCACAAAATCGTCAGGGGACGATTTTTGGTGGGAGCAATTTTCGACTGTTTTTGTTTTTTTGGGGGTTATTTTCAATGCTTCGTCCAACATCCGCCTGTAGGCGGGAGGACATGCCCGACCTAAATGTGTGGCCGATTCGAGCTCGATGTTCCCCCCCTGCCTCCTCCTCCTCCTCCTCCTCCTCGCCTCCTCCTATTCGCTCGCATCCTCCTCGAGGCTCTCGATGCGCCTCGGCGCCCTGGCCACGAGGCACTCCGGGAGAGGTCCAGGAGTGGCGGCGTCTGCATGTCCTCGTCGTCGTCGTCGTCGTCGTCGTCGTCGTCGTCGTCGTCGGTCGGCGATTTAGTTTCGGAGATCTTTGGGCGCTTCTAGAGGTTCTCGTCGCCACGGCTGGACGCGGCTCGGAAAACAATCGCGGGCCCAGGAGAGGTCCAGGGACTACTTTCGATTGGATTTTAGGATCTTTTCCTCCTCCTCCTCCTCCTCCTCCTCCACGGGTCTTTTGGTTGAGCTCGAGTGCGTGCACATCCCTGCTCCGTCCTTTTTGCATCTCTCTCACTCTGTCTCCGTCTCTCCTTCTTTACTCTTATTTCACTTTCTCTTTCTCTTTTTCCTTATCTTTCTCTGTCTCTATCTCCCTCTCGCCGTCTGCGTCTCGATATGCATGTTTGCCTCAGTCCCTGCCGCTCAGTCTCAGCAATTCTCTCTGCCTGTCTCTGCCAGCCTGCCTGTCTTCCTGACCGTGTGATCTCAGCGCGCAGCGTGCCATGACCAAATGCAGCGGAGCCTCCGCCGGTCTCTCGGCATCGCTCGGGCGTGGGCATTTTGTCTCGGCGAGGGCCATCGAGGAGCATCCTGCACCATCGAGCAGAACAAAAGCACGCACGACGCTGAAGAAGTGCACGGGCAGAGGACGTCCGAGCGATGGCGAGGGCCTCGCAGGCAGCACGCTGGCGCGCGGGTGGCTCGCGGTGCGGCCGCCGCGCTCCGTCGCCGTGGCGAGCTCGCCCCGCGGTGGGGTGCAGGGCCGATCTCTGGGGCTTCGGCCTGGCCGTGCCCCCTCGCGCTCGCCTGGGGCTCGCCGGGGTGGTCAATAAAAATCAGGAGGGGAAAAAACATACAGACACAATGAATCGTCGACTCCCCAGAAGATATGGGAACGTATGGGAAGTGGGCGGAGACAAAGCCCAGAAAGTATGGGAAACTATTGCGAATCCTGTTATTTGTGTCTATTTATTTGTGTGTCCCAGGGCCCCTTCAACAAAAAGGCAAGGGTGCCGGCGGCTCGGCCAGCTCGGCTGCGTGTCGCCGTCGGCTGCGTGCCGCGAGCCCGAGGAGAGCAGCCGTCATCTCTGAGCAACCTGAAGTCGGGCCTCTCCATCTGCAGGAGGAGCATTCAAGAAGCAACCAACAATAGCCCGGGGATGATTGTTTTAACCCTTTTCGAGTATTTGTTTGAATATTCTTGGGTATGTTTGGATTTTTCCCTTCAAACCCCCCTGTAGGGGGACAGGCCCGACCTAAGACTAACCCAATTCATGTCCACACCGCCTCCAGGAGGTATTCCGTGACATAAACACCTTGCCGTTGCAATGCTTATTCGCGCTGGAGACTGGTTCGATTGACCAGCATATTTTTTGATCCTTTGCTGATTGTTGCAAAAAGAAAAGCGATCCGAGGAGAGGGAGACGGCGAAGGCGGCGTACCTCGCCCAGCTCGACCCGAAGAAGGCCGGCAGCATCGACCAGCAGGTGCTGGACAAGGCCCTCCCAGGGGAGCGCAGGGGGCCGTGCCAGAGACACGCCGGGGCCCCCTCGGGGCGAGTGCCGTGCGGTGGTGCGTGCGGCGTTGTCCAGGGCAGGCTCGCTGCACGCTGCCATCCTTCGGAGGCGGCGCCGGCGGGCTCATCGGGCACACAGAACGTGCCAGACTCGACGGGATGAAGGCTTGCTCCAGTTCCTCAAGGGCGCACCGAGTGTGGTGCTTCTTCTGCACAAGGGGGGGGCACCGCTCCTCAGGCACGCGGCGCGCCTTCGGAGGAAGAAGAGGCACCGATGCCGCTGCCCTTGCCCGGTTCTCGCCTTTTTATGGCCTCCTCCTCCTCCTCCTCCTCCTCCTCCTCCTCCTCCTCCTCTCGTTCTTCTTCCTCCTCCTCCTCCTCCTTCTCCTCCTCCTCCTCCTCCTTCTCCTCCTCCTCCTCCTCCCCCCTCCTCCTCCCCCTCCCTCCCACTCCCTCCCTGATCTGGCCCCTCGCCCCCCCTTGGCTCCCCCTTGGGCAGAGGAGCAGGGCGCGTGCCGACGCCGAGGGGGCCTTCCCCCCCCTCGATGCGCTCGCCTCCTCCTCGAGGCCCTCGTCGTCGTCGCCTCCTCCTCCTCCTCCTCCTCCTCCTCCTCCTCCTCCTCCTCTGCGCGCTCCGCGCCTGGCCGCTGGTGCCCAGGGGGCCGAGCTGTGGCCGTCGGGGGCCCGTCGCCACCGCCGAGGTCTCCCCGAAATGCTGGTCAGAGCGGGGTTCTGCTCCACCCCCCCATCCCCCTCCTACTCCTCCTCCCCCCCCCCCTCCTCCTCCGCCCCTCCACGCCCCCTCCCCCTCCTCCTCCTCTTTCCTCCTCCTCCACCTACTCCTCCCCCCCATCCTCCTCCTCTCCTCCTCCCCGCCTCTCCTTCTCCTCCTCCTCCTCCTCCTCTTCTTCTTCCTCCTCCTCCTCCTCCTTCACCCCCAGCTCTGTACCCCGAACCCCCTCTCGTCCCGTCCCGTACCGTCAGGGGGTGCAGGAGGCTGTTTGGCCCACCTCAGCCGAGCGGCTGTGGCGAGTCCCTCGTCCCACCACTGTGGCGGGAATGCGGTTCGAGGGTCCACTGCCTGAGTCGACCGAGGGGCGTTCCACTGGTCAGGTACCCGCCAGAGTCACCGCCATTCCAACGCGTGTGGGAGGAGGGCGCACTCTCTTGGGGGGAGCAGCGATACCACGGATGAGCATCGCATATATTGCCCAGTGAAAATTCTGGTCAGAACGCACCCCGGGAGAGGTCTGGGGAGTAGCGGTATCGGTATCTTGTTGTTCTCTCACTCCTCATCTCATGGCGCGCGAGCGCGTTTTTGCTTGTATAATGCAGCTGCTGCTGCTGCTGCTGCTGCTGTTGTTGTTGTTGTTGAACATTATTTATTCTAAAGAATAATTATTGTTGGGCCCTCTGGTGCGCGCCCCCCCTGCGCCGCCTAGGCCGCAGCTACATTTTCATCATTTTCGTGAGGAAGCCTCAGAAAAGAGGGTGTGTACAGGATCCGGTTGTTTTGTTGTAATCCGCTTTCCCTTGCAAAAAACAATAGAAAATGACATTTCTTGTTCTAATATAATCAAATTTCAAGAATCCCTTGCAAAAAATAAGGTAAAGTGGACATTCGCGCGCGCAAGACGAAATCCTTCCAAAACCTTAGTTTTCGTAGCGATTTTAACATAAAAAACATCAAAAAACCAATGGTTTTTCAAACAAAAAATGTCGAAATTTCATCCCGCGCGCTCTTGCGGATTCGTAGGAAACCCAACACTTTTTAAACATTTCTGTCAAACGGGCTTTTGCGAGCAATTTTTTCGAACTTCTGCAACAACGGTTGCGCACCTGCCAGGGCCATCATCCCTGTCAAATAATACCATGCGGGACAATCAGGACAAGCACAACCATCAGGACAACCATCGGGACAACCATCGAGACAACCATCGGGACAACCATATCCTCTCTCCTTTGTGTATTCCCACATCCCTCAGGAATTTGCCCTAAAGATGTGATCAACTATCTTGTGAGTACGTATCATGTGTATCATGTGTATCATGTACCATATGCATCATATGCAACAGATGTTCTGTGGAAGGCTTAACAACTTCTGTGGGTTAACAAGGCTTAACAACTTCTGTGGTGTACGAACGTAGGCTTAACAACTTCTGTGGGTGTGTACTCCACGCCAGTGTAGTAGCCACGGTCGTCCGCAGGCCACGAAGTGAAGTGTCCGAACGTCATAGGGCGGGAAGCTGGGTGTGGGTGGTGGCGAAGATTCGTGTGGATATTTGGTAGAGCTTGCACTGCCCCCCCACAAAGTGGGGGTATTGGCTGGCGTCGCATGAAAACCCTGGCACTGGTGAGAACACTGAAGCGTGTCGGGTAAATGATTGTTCTGTTGTGTGTTGTTGTAGTTTTGTGTTGGTGCTGCTGCGGCGCCTGCCTGCTGCTGTTGTTGTGTTGATCATTATTTTATTCTAAAAAATAATTATTGTTGGGGCCCCTGGTGCGCGGCCCCCTCGCCGCGCCTAGGCCGCAGCCACATTTTCATCATTTTCGTGAGGAAGTCTCAGGCAAAACGTGGGTGTCCGGATCCGGTTGTTTTGTTGTCCCCCGTTTTCCCTTGCAAAAAATACGCTACAGTGGACATTTCTTGTTCTAACATAACCAAACTTCAAGAATCCCTTGCAACAAATAAGGTAAAGTGGACATTCGCGCGCGCAAGACGAAATCCTTCCAAAACCTTAGTTTTCGTAGCGATTTTAACATAAAAACATCAAACAACCAATGGTTTTTCAAAAACAAATTGTCAAAATTTCATCCCGCGCGCTCTTGCGGATTCGTAGGAAACCCAACACTTTTTAATCATTTCTGTCAAACGGGCTTTTGCGAGCAACTTTTTCGAACTTCTGCAACAACGGTTGCGCACCTGCCAGGCCATCATCCCTGTCAAATAATACCATGCGGGACACATTCGTTTTTTCTTCGCGCGCGCACGCCGTCGTCGTCGGCCGCGGGGCCCTGAATAGAAGCCACGGTCGTCCGCATGCCACGAAGTGAAGTGTCCGAACGTCATAGGGCGGGAAGCTGGGTGTGGGTGGTGGCGAAGAGTCGTTTGGAAATGTGGTAGAGCTTGAACCGGCCCCCCCACAAAGTGGGGGTATTGGCGGGCGTCGTATGAAAACCCTGGCACTGGTGAGAACGGAGTGTCCCCACGTGCTAGTAATTGTTGTTGTTGTTGTTGTTGTTGTTGTTGTTGTTGTTTTTGTTGTCGTCGTCGTCGTCGTCGTCGTCGTTGTTGTTGTTGTTGTTGTTGTTGTTGTTGTTGTTGTTGTTGTCGTTGTCGTCGTCGTTGTTGCTGCTGCTGCTTGTTGTTGTTGTTGTTGTTGCTGCTGTGGTTGTTGTTGTTGTTGTTGTTGTTGGTGGTGGTGTTGGTGGTGGTGGTGGTGGTGTCGTTGAGCTCTCACTGTTGAAGAATAATTATTGTTGATCCCCCTCACCGTTTTTTTTTTTTTTTTTTTTTTTTTTTTTTTTTTTTTTTGTTTTTGTTTTTTTTTTTCAGTTGAAGTGCCCCCTCGGGGCTCGCACCGTGTTTTTGCCAAAGAAAGTCTTTCTGCCCAAATTGCCATGTTGGACCGCGAACTAGAACAACAACGCCTGCTACTCCCTCACAATTCAGTTCAATCGCGCTCTCGCGGGGGACCTCACAATTTATACAGGAATCGCGTTCTCGCGTGGGACGCAATTTATTCAGACGCCGCGCCCTCGACACTCAGCAATCACGCTCTCGCTTTGGCCTTTCTCGCGATTTATTCGGGAGTTGCGCTATCGCTCGAGACTTCCTCGCGATTCATGCAGGACTCACGCTTCGGCATCCCGTCTGTTCGACCTGGCCGGCTGGGCCCGCCTTCCTGACCCGCCCGCTAGGGTCTTCCCCCCCGATCAGCCCGTCTGATTCTGCCACGTGTTTTCTACTCCTAGTCCCCCTCCTAGTTTCTCTCGTGCTCCATCCTTTGCTCTCCCCCTTCCATCCGTCGTCTCTTCCTCTGTTTTTGGGGCTGCATTACATGTACGTGGCAGGTAGGGAACATATCCCCCCCAAAGGGGATACTATCGAAGACGAAGAGGGCGGGTACCAAGGGTATGGGATATACGTGTTGAGTGGGGCGCGAGCAGATCGGAGCGAACAGTCTTACAATGATGGTTGTTGTTGCTGCTGCTACTGTTGTTGTTGATGTTGCTGTTGATGTTGATGTTGATGTTGATGTTGATGTTGATGATGATGTTGTTGATGTTGTTGTTGTTGTTGTTGTGGTTGTGGTTGTGGTTGTGGTTGTGATTGTTGTTGTTGTTGTTGTTGTTGTTGTTGTTGTTGTTGTTGTTTTTGTTGTTGTTGAACTCTCATTTCTGACGATTCATTATTGTTGATCCCCCCGTCCAGTGCACATTGTTTTTTTTTCGATTGAAGTGCCCTTCCCGGAGCTCGCACCCTGTGTCTGATCAGGGAAAATCTTGAGGGTCAAACTGTGTCGTTGGCCCCCGGTTTACAACAACAACGGCTCCCGCCTGAGACCTTCACAATTTAGCCAGGACCCCCGCTCCCGCCCGAGACTTCCTCGCGTTTTTTTTTCAGGAATCGCGCTCTCGCTTGTGACCTCCTTAGAATTTATTCTCCCGGCGCTCTGGAATCGCGCTCTCGCTGGAGACGTGCTGGCAATTTACTGAAGAATAGCGCCCTTGCGTTGGAATTTCCTGCAATTTACTCAAGCGCCGCGCTCCCGACACCCAGGCACCCAGGAGTCGCGCTCACGCTTTGGACTCCCTCACAGATTACATAGGAATCGGGATCTCGCTGCCCTTCGTGGCCCCGTTGCAGCCCTTTGTGGCCTCCTCGCTTTGTTTCGTGGCCCCGTTGCAGCCCTTCGTGGCCCCCTCGCTGCCCTTCGTGGCCCCGTTGCAGCCCCTCGTGGCCTCCTCGCTGCCCTTCGT